ACAATATAATTACAATGTCATAACAATGTCATAAGTCATTTACAATGTCAACAATGTCATAACAAAATAATTACAATGTCATAATGTAATTATAATGTCGAAACAATGTCATAACAGTGTAAATACAATGTTATAATGATGTAGTAACAATGTTAAAACATAGTAATTGTATCCAAAAAAGTTTGTAACTACAGCTGTACTATGTATATTTATGCAATTACAACGAATATGTCATAAAAATATAATTACAATGTTATAATCATGTAGAAACAATGTTAATACATGGTTATTATATAAAAAATTGTAATTACATATGTACTGTGTATATTTATATATACATACACAAATACAGTACATGAACTATACAAAGAAACATGTTTATAAATATCATCTTGGATTAATTTACAAAATAATAGCATATACATATGCACACATGATACACTCCATACATATGCACACATGATACATTCTATACACACACACACCATACATTATATACATACACTCATGATACACTTTATACATATTCCATACATGATACACTTCATACATATAGACACACGGTACATTCTATACACATGCACACATGATACACCATACGTATACACTTTATACATTTGCACACATGATACATTCTTCACATATATATATACACATGATACACTCTATACATATGCACATATGACATGTCCTATACATACACACACAATACACTCCATACATATACACCCCATACATATGCAGACATAATACACACGATACATTCACACAGAGAGAATACACTTTATACATATATATACTCCATACACCCTACTCCATATGCACACAATATATTCTATACATATACATATAAGTTGATGAATCCTAACATACTATACATATACGCACATGATACACATTCTGTACATTATACATATAGACACATATGGACACAATACACCATACATGATATACTCCATACATATGCACACATGATACGTTCTATACATATATACTCACACACACCATACATGATACATTATATACATACACCTGTGATACACTTTATACATATAGACACATGATACATTCTATACATATATACACATAATACACCATACATATACACTTCATACATTTGCACAAATGATACAATCTTCACATATATACACACACATGATACCCTCCATACAAATGCACACATGATACACTTTATACATATACACACGATTCATTCTATACATAAATTCACAGATGATACAATCCTTACATAAGGCACTCTTGTCAGCGTCTAGGATAGAACCCGGGTCTCTGGTGTGAGAGGCAAATCACTTACCCACTGAGCTACTGGAAGTTGATAAATCCTGACATACTATACAAATACACACATGATACACGTTATACATATACATGTTCTATACATTATACACTTTATGCATATAGACAAACAATGCATTCTATACATATGCACACATGATACACTTCATACATATGCACACATGATACATTCTATACACACACACCATAAATTATATACATACACACATGATACACTTTATACATATTCCATACATGATACACTTTATACAAATAGACACACAATACATTCTATACATATGCAGACATCATATACACGATACATTCACACAGAGAGGAAACACTTTATACATATACATACTCCATACACCCTACTCCATATGCACACAATATATTCTATACATATACATATAAGTTGATGAACCCTAACATACTGTACATATACACACAATTCATTCTATACATACAATCACCCATGATACACATATACACTCCATACATTCTAAATATACACACATACACACAACACACTCCATTCATATGCACACATGATACACTTTATACATATGCACACGATTCATTCCATACATAAAATCACACATGATACACTCCATACATTACTGACTCTTGTCAGCGTCTAGGATAGAACCCAAGTCTCTGGTGTCAGAGGTGAATCACTTACCCACTGAGCTACTGGAATGTGATGAATCCAGACACACTACACATATACACTACATATGTTTACACACATAATACACTCTATACATTTGCACATATGATACACTTTATACATATACAAACTCCATACATGATAAACTCCATACATATACACACAATACACTCCATATATTCTAAATATATACACATACACACGACACACTCCATTCATATGCACACATGATACACTTTATACATATACACACGATTCATTCTTTACATAAAATCACACATGATACACTTTATACATATTCTATACATTATACATATGGACACATTGCATTCTACACATATGCACACATGATACACTATAAATATGCATACATGATATACACCATATATATGCTCACATGATACACTCCATACATATGCACACATGATACATTCTATATACACACACACACACCATACATTATATACATACACTCATGATACACTTTATACATATTCTCTAAATGATACACTTCATACATATAGACACACGATACATTCTATACATATGCACACATGATACGTCAGACGTATACACTTCATACATTTGCGCACATGATACATTCTTCACATATATACACAAGATACACTCCATACATATGCACACATGATATGTTCTATACATACACACACAATACACCCCATACATATACACACCATACATATGCAGACATAATACACACACACACACAGAGGATACACTTTATAAATATACATACTCCATATGCACACAATATATTCTATACATATACATATAAGTTGATGAATCCTAACATACTATACATATACACATTCTATACATTATACATATAGACACAATGCATTCTATACATATGCACACGATACACATGCATACATAATACACTCCATACATATACACACATGATACATTCTATACATATACACACCACACATGATATACATACACACATGATACACGATACATTCTATACATATGCACACATGATACACCATACATATACACTTCATACATCTGCGCACATGAAACATTCTTCACATGAACTCTATACATTTGCACATATGATACACTTTATACATATACAAACTCCATACATGATAACCTCCATGCATATACACACAATACACTCCATATATTCTAAATATACACATATACACACTCCATTCATATGCACACATGATACACTTTATACATATACACACGATTCATTCTATACATTAAATCTAACATGATATATATATGTATATATATATGACTCCATAAATAACACACTCTTGTCAGCGTCTAGGATAGAACCCAGGTCTCCAGTGTGAGAGGCAAATCTCTTACCCACTGAGCTACTGGAAGTTGATGAATCCTGACATACTATACATATACACACATGATACACTTTATATCTATACATATTCTATACATTATACATATAGACACAAAATGCATTCTACACATATGCACACGATACACCATACATATACACTTCATACAACTGCATACATGATACACTCCATACATATGCACACATGATACATTCAGTACATATACACACACACCATACATGATATATATACACACATGATACATATTCCATACATGATACACTTCATACATAAAGACACACGATACATTCTATACATATGCACACATGATACACCATACATATACACTTCATACATTTGCGCACATGATACATTCTTCACATATATACACACACATAAAACACTCCATACATATGCACACTTGATACACTTCATACATATACACACGATTCATTCTATACATAAAATCACACATGATACACTCCATACATAACATACGCTAGGATAGAACCCGGGTCTCGAGTGTCAGAGGTGAATCACTTATCCACTGAGCTACTGGAATGTGATGAATCCAGACATACTATACATATACACACATGATACACTTTATACATATACATATTCTACACATTATACATACACAATGCATTCTACACATATGCACACATGATACACTCCATACATATGCACACATGATACATTCTATACATACACACACGATACACTTTATACATATTCCATACATTATACATTTCATACATATAGACACACAATATATTCTATTCATAGAATCACACATGATACACTCTATACATAACATACTGTTGTCAGCGTCTAGGATAGAACCCGGGTCTCCGGTGTCAAAAGTGAATTTCTTATCCACTAAGCTACTGAAATGAGATGAATCTAGACACACTACACATATACTCCATATGTTTATACACATAATACACTCTATACATTTGCACACATGATACACTTTATACATATACATACTCCATACATGATAAACTCAATACATATACACACAATACACTCCATACATTCTAAATATACATACGACACACTCCATTCATATGCACACATGATACACTTTATACATATAAACACGATTCATTTTATACATAAAATCACACAAGATACACCATACATAACACACTCTTGTCAGTCTCTAGGATAGAACCCGGGTCTCCAGTGTGAGAGGCAAATCACTTACCCACAGTCCTGACATACTATACATATAGACACACAATGCATCCTACACATATGCACACATGATACACCATACATATGTATACATGATATACTCCATACATATGCACACATGATACACTCCATACATATGCACACATGATACATTCTATACACACACACCATACATTATATACATACACTCATGATACACTTTATACATATTCCATACATGATACACTTTATACATATAGACACACGATACATTTTATACATATGCACACGATACGCCATACGTATACACTCCATACATATGCACACATGATACATTCTATACACACACACCATACATTATATACATACACTCATGTAGGCATGTGCCGGTATCACATTTTCATGCTGCGATTAATTGATTAAGCTTTAATCACGGTATACGGTATTATCACGATATTGTAATTTTACTAGAGAAACAGGTAAAAAAAACACAAAAAACTGTTTCGTCAACTTAGTAACTTTAAGAACTTTTTAATTAACTAAAAGTACTTCAAACATTTAAATACAAATAAATATAAATAAAACAATGCACAATTTAAAAGTAAACTTGAGCAATTATATCAAAGTGAATGTGCAAACTGCAAAAGAACAACATTTGTTATATGTTTTTAAATAGATTTAAGAGCAAAAAACTATTTTTAATGAATCAACAATAAACATTTTCAACCAATTCCTGGTATCTCTTCTGGGCTGCCTGGCATATTTTAGTCCTTGAGATTAAAGTGCAAAAATGTGAGCATGTTCACTTTTTCTGGCTTGAGCTTTGAACGCTGAGGTGAGAGGATATGTCCACTGGCACTAAATACCCTCTCTGAGGGAACACTTGTTGCAGGAATGCAGAGAAACTTCTCAGCCAAGGTAGCAAGATGAGGAAGTTCTTCAGCATGCAAACTCCACCACTGCAATGGATCTGCCTCTGATTTTATTAGTGGCAGAGAAAGATACAGTTTGATCTCAGCTTCAGTCTTTGACTTCATGCTGCTTTCACCCTCCTGCTCCTCTGCTCTCTGCTGCCTTGTGGAGGTGATTTTGTTGAGCAGGGTGGCCAAGCTTTGCTGCTGTTTTTCAGAGGTGTGTGTGTGAGTGAAGGGCAGGGGGGTTGAGCTGCTTTGCTCTGTCTGGGCAGCTCCCTGACTCAGTGTTGTCATCTCTGCCAGTTTTGAGGCTTCCTCAATACAGCAGTTGACCGTGGCATCAAGGTCATCAGAAAAGCTTCCTTTAAACCGGGGATCAATGAAGCTTGTCAAGTCCATCACCTTCTTTGCATCAACACTGTACCTGGATTCAAGATCTGACTTCATTACCCTCTTCAGGTCTATGGTGAGGGCACTGTCTTCATTTTTTACCTCAAGAATGTCTGAGATGATGTGACTTAGCACCGGCCACAGGGCTGACAGACTTACTCTGCTCTCTGAAGCCAAAGCATCAGTAAAAACACTGAGTGGTTGAAGGATTTGCAAGACTTGTTCAATGACTGCAATATCTGCATCCTTTGGCATCAAATGCCATGCACCTCCCTCCGTTGCCAGTACAGCACAGACTGCCTGCTGTTGTTCAATAAACCTCTGCAGCATTTTCTGTGTCGATCCCCATCTAGTGACTACATCATGGATGAGTGACCTCTGAGGGATATTTAAGGCCTCTTGTTTATTTCTGAGCTCTCTTCTTCTCTTTCAGCTTCTTGAAAATCCCTGCACCAAATGTCGACAGCTTCGGACAGCTGTGTCCACCCTCTGGATTTTCAGAGCTTTAGAAATGGCCAGATTCAAGTTGTGGCCAAAACACCCAAACCACTGGCCAGGAAAGGTGGTCTCGAATGCCTTTTTCATGTTTGTAGCATTATCAGTTGTAATACTGACAAAAAACTCTTTGTTGATGCCCCACTCCTGCAACATGTTATCAAAAAATTCACTGATATTGTCAGCAGTGTGGTCTTCTGGAAAAAACTGTGTTTCCAGGCAGTTTGATTGAAGTTTCCAATCTGTGAGGTAGTGGATGGTGAAGCTGATGTATGGATGACCACTTCCTCCACTGCTGGTCCATAGGTCAGTAGTTGCTGCATACCATTTTCCTTGGGCTATACGCTTGCCAACATCCTCTTTTAGACTGTTATACATTTTGGGTAATTCTGTCTTAGAGAAAAACTTCTGTGAGGGAACTTTTTAAAGTGGAACTGTTGTCTTCATCAGTTTCAGAAATCCTGGTTTTGCTACTGTGTAAATGGGGATCATGTCTTTAGCAATACAGTATGCTATGGCATGATTGATTTCCTTGGCCCGATGAGATGAAGGTCCATATGAAGCCTGACGCTGGAATGCCTCTTGAACTGTTGGTTGAACGATGGCTTCAGCTGAAGATGAACCAGCACTGCTAGATGCATGGCCACTCTGTAAAATAGGAATGAAAAATATTACTTCATACCTCTGATAATTTAAATAAAAGATGCTGTTCAGACAGAGAATACAAGCAAAGTAAATTTTCGTTTTTTTTGTTTTGTTTTTAGACTAAAAATAACCCAAGTTGCAACTTTCAACTAAATGCATCTGTCATTTCAAACTATATTTTAGTAATAGAAAACACACGATGATGAGCTTAAGTTTTGCACTTTACTTGTAACGTTACTCTCTTGTAAACATGTAAACATCACGTTTACTCGCACTGTGTGAAAATGTATGATTGTGTTGCATTCCTTTTTAACTTAAAATCACATTATTCTGCCTAACTTCAATTATTAATTACAGAACTTACTTTTAGCTGAGTATTGTATTTTGTTGTTAAAATACGAGATGCAAACTTAAGTGTAGCAAGTGGAGTTTATGCTAACTTTTAAACTAACGTACATGGAAGCAAGCAACACGCAGCAAATGGAAATAAGTTAACGTAATTTTGCAATCCTGTCTTTCAAATAGTTGTTTTATGTGGTATTCAGCATGAGAAATTAAGTGTCTTACCTTTATCTCCCTGAATTGCAGTGGATAGTTGTCGCGAATATGAGCAAACATGTTAGACGTGTTCCCGTGTTTAGCAGCCACTTTCCGTCCACATGTTTTACACAAAGGGAAACCGTCTTCGATCAGCAATCCCTCTGCATTTTTTTGGAACCCAAAATATTTCCAAACCTCTGACTTTACCCTTTTTGAAGGGGGATAAATTGTCGGCAGCGTTCCTCCTTCCGCCATGCTTCTTCGTGTGAGGATAAGAGAGCGGTGGCAGCGGCGGCGCGCACTGCGTGCACACAGTGCTTCTACATGCGGGGATTGTTTACATCCGAGTGCGCATCAGTTCTGCGCAGCATATACGCAGTGTTTCTTCAAGCGGTTGATGGAAAATAAGCTGAAGGGGGATAAATTGTCGGCAGCGTTCCTCCTTCCGCCATGCTTCTTCTTCGTGTGAGGATTATAGTGCGGTGGCAGCGGCGGCGCGCACTGCGTGCACACAGTGCTTCTACATGTGGGGATTGTTTACATCAGAGTGCGCATTAGTTCTGCGCAGCATATACGCAGTGTTTCTTCAAGCGGTTGATGGAAAATAAGCTAAGGCGCGTTCTAAGAATATAAATTCGGATCTATTATTTTTCACGGTATTTTGAAGTGCCCGCGATAACAATATCGTGCATATTCATTACCGTGATTTATCGCATTACCGAATACCGGCACAAGCCTACACTCATGATACACTTTATACATATTCCATACATGATACACTTCATACATATATACACACGATACACTCCATACATATGCACACATGATATGTTCTATACATACACACACAATACACTCCACACATATACACCCCATACATATGCAGACATAATACACACGATACATTCACACAGAGTCGATACACTTTATACATATACATACTCCATATGCACACAATATATTCTATACATATACATATAAGTTGATGAATCCTAACATACTATACTCATACACACTCTATACTTTATACATATAGACACACAATGCATTCTACACATATGCACACGATACACCCATGATACACTCCATACATATGCACACATGATACATTTTATAAATATACACACACACACACCATACATGATACACTTTATACATATTCCATACATGATACACTTCATAAATATAGACACACGATACATTCTATACATATGCACACATGATACACCATACACTTCATACATTTGCGCACATGATACATTCTTTACATATGTACACACGATACACTCCATACATTTGCACACATGATATGTTCTATACAAACACAATACACTCCATACATATACACCCCATACATATGCACACATAATACACACACACAGAGAGGATACACTTTATACATAAACATACTCCATATGCACACAATATATTCTATACATTTACATATAAGCTGATGAATCCTAACATACTATACATATACACACTCTAAACATTATACATATAGACACACACAATGCATTCTATACATTCTTACATACTCTTATATATTCTTACCCACAGAGCTACTGGAAGTTGATGAATCCTGACATACTATACATATACACACATGATACACTTTATACATATACATATTACATATAGACACACAATGCATTCTATACATATGCACACATGATACACCATACGCATACATTTCATACATTTGTGCACATGATACATTCTTTACATATGTACACACAATACACTCCATACATGATATGTTCTATACATACACAATACATATACACACCATACATATGCAGACATAATACACACAATACATTCACAGCGAGAGGATACACTTTATACAAACACATACTCCATACACCCTACTCCATATGCACACAATATATTGTATACAAATAAGTTGATGAATCCTAACATACTATACACCATACACATACACTTCATACATATACTTACATGATACACTCCATAAATTTGCACACATGATATATTTTATACAAATATACACACACTCACACCATACATGATACATTATATACATATTCATATGATACATTTTAAACATATTCCATACATGATACACTTCATACATATAGACACATTCTACACATATGCACACATGATACATATAGATACACTCTTGTCAGCATCTGGGATAGAACCCGGGTCTCTGGTGTCTGGGGTGAATCACTTACCCACTGAGCTACTGGAATGTGATGAATCCGGACACACTACACATATACACTCCATATGTTTACACACATAATACACACTATACATTTGCACACATGATACACTTTATACATATACATACTCCATACATGATAAACTTCATACATATACACACACTATACACTCCATACATTCTAAATGTACACACATAGACACGACACACTCCATTCATATGCACACGATACATTTTTTACATATACACACATTCTATACACACACACATTCTATACATATTCCATACATAATACACTTCATACATATAGACACACGATACATTCCATATATTTGCACACATGATACATTCTTCACATATATACACACATTATAAGTTATATACATACACACAATACAATCCAGAGAGTACACTTAATACATATACATACTCCATACATATGCACACAAGACATTCTATACATACTGTATGCACACATGATAGACTCCATACACACATGATACATTCTATACATACTGACACAATACATTCCAAACGATACACTTTTGTCAGCGTCTGGAACCCGGGTCTCTGGTTTGAGAGGTAAATCACCTACCCACATATGTGGGTAATGTTTTAACCATGTAATTACAATGTCTCAACGATATAATTACAATGTCATAACAACAATGTCATAAAAATGTAACTACAATGTGATAACAGTCATTACAATGTCATAACAATTTAACTACAATGTCACAACAATGTTTTAACAATGTAATTACAATATCAGAACTTAGACATTACAATGTTATAACAATGTCACAACAATGTTTAACAACGTAATTACATGTCATAACGATATAAATACAATGTCACAATGTAATTACAATGTCATACCATAGTCACTAAAATGTCATTACAATGTAACAACAATGCCATAAAAATTTAATTACAATGTCATAACAGTCATTACAATGTCATAACAATTTAACTACAATGTCAAAACAATGTTTTAACAATGTAATTACAATGTCAACTATGTCATAAAACAATTAGAATGTCATAAAAATATATTTACAATGTCATAATGTAATTACAATGTCATACCATAGTCATTGCAATGTCATTACAATGTAACAACAATGTCAAAATAATGTAATTACAATGTCATAACAATGTAATTACATCAAAACAATGTAATTACAATGATATAATGATGTAGTAACAATGTTAACTAATAGTAATTAAAGCCTAAATGTTTTAATTACAGCTGTACTATGTATATTTATGTAATTACAATGAATGTCATGACAATGTAACTACAATGCCATAGCAATGTAATTACAATGTCATAACAATGTAATGACAATGTAATTACAACGTCATAACAATGTCATATCAATGTAACTACAATGTCAACAATATCATAAAGCAATAACTATAATAAAATATTATAATAACTATAATAATGTCAACAAGGTCAACAATGCAATTACAATGTTAATAATGTCATAAAAATATAATTACATTGTCATAAGAACACAATTACAATGTCATAATGTATTTACAATGTCAACAATGTCATAACAATGCAATTACAATGTCATAACGGTGTCATAACAATATAATTACAATGTAATTACAAAATCATAACATATTCATTCCAATGTCCAAGCATTGTAATTACAATGTCATAACAATGTAATCACAATGTCATAATAATGTCATAACAATGTAATTGCAGTGTCATAATGCAATTAAAATGTCATAACAATGCCATAACAATATAATTACAATGTCATAAGTCATTCACAATGTCAACAATGTCATAACAATATAATTACAATGTCATAACAATGTAATTACAATGTCATAACAATGTAATTACAATGTCGAAACAATGTCATAAGAGTGTAAATACAATGTTATAATGATGTAGTAACAATGTTAAAACATAGTAATTGCATTCAAAAAAGTTTGTAACTACAGCTGTACTATGTATATTTATGCAATTACAACGAATATGTTATAACATTATAATTACAATGTTATAATCATGTAGAAACAATGTTAATACATGGTTATTATATAAAAAATTGTAATTACATATGTACTGTGTATATTTACATATAAATACACAAATACAGTACATGAACTATACAAAGAAACATGTTTATAAATATCATCTTGGATTAATTTACAAAATAATAGCTATGTAATGACACAACAATGTCACAACACTCACAACAATGTCATAACAATGTAAATACAATGTCAACAATGTAATTACAATGTCAACAATGTAATTACAATGTCAACAATGTAATTACAATGTCATAATGTAATTACAATGTCATAACAATGGCACAACAATTTCATAACAATGTATTTACATTGTCATAACATAGTCATTACAATATCATAAAATTTTAAATACAATGTCACAACAATGTAATACAATGTCATAGCATAGTCATAAAAATGTAATAACATTTTAATTATAATGTCACAACAATGTCATAACAATGTAATTATAATTTTAATAATGTCATAATAATGTGATTTAAATGCCAGAACACTGTAATTACCTTGTCATAACAATGTATTGAAATTGTCATTAAAATATAATTACAATGTCAACAATGTCATAACAATGCAATTACAATGTCAATAATGTCATAACAATATAATTACAATGTCATAATTATCTATTTACAATGTCAACAAGGTCATATCAATAAAATTGCAATATCAATAATGTCATAACAATGTACTTACAATGTCAACAATGTCAATGCATTTACAATGTCAACAATGTCATAACAATATAATTACAATGCCATAACAATGTCACAACAATATCATAACAATGCAATTACAATGTTATAATGATGTAGTAACAATGTTAATACATAGAAATTATATAAAAAGTTTGTAATTACTGTATACACGTACTGTGTATATTTACATAAAAACACAAATACAGTACTTACAATTTATTAGCAATGTAATGAAATAGTAATTAAAATGAAATAACAGTAATTGCACACAAGATAAAAGTTCACATATTACATTTTACAATGTCATAACTATGCAATTACAATGTCATAACAATGCAATACAATGCCATAACAATATAATTACAATGTAATAACAAAGCTATTACAATGTCATAATTTAATTACAATGTCACAACAATGTTTGTTCAATGTAATTAAAATGTCAACTATATCATAACAATGTAATTACAATGTCATTACAAAATTATAGCAATGTAATTATAATGTCATAAAAATGCAATTAAAATGTCATGACAATATGATTACAATGTCATAATGTAATTACAATGTCATAACATAGTCATTACAATGTCATAACAATGCAATTACAATCTCACAACAAGTCATAACAATATAACTAAAATGCCATAATGTAATTAAAATGTCATGACAATATGATTACAATGTCATAATGTAATTACAATGTCATAACATAGTCATTACAATGTCATAACAATGCATTTACAATCTCTCAACAATGTCGTAACAAAGTAATTACA